GGACCAACACATCGACTGAAAAAACTATTGCACAGCGCCTTAGACAGAAATGCTTTTAGAAAACTGGTCGCAAACATTTAGTAATGAATATGCACAAGAAGAAGAAGATGAATAATTGGTTTATAATAAATGCGTTTCTTGACTTTTTTATTATGCTCTACCATTTATTTATCGTTCTCTTCTTTGTATTATCAGATGACGGAGTAGTTATTATGTGCATTGAACATAATCGCTTAAAGTACTAATTCGCTCTCTTAGATGCAGTAGGTAGTATCTGTGAGATATGAGAACGAAATTTTTAGCTTTTTGTTTCATATTTTTGTCACTCGCCTTTGCATATAACGAATACAAGAGAGAGCTTTAGCTCACTCAATGAGGTGAACTCATTCGATGATAATTTTCATGGAATATACTTTAAATCTTCAAGTTTCGGCAAAAAAGTTAGTCACGATAGCTTAAATTTACAAGTCGCCGATAAAATAAAAGTCGTATAACTATGCCACAACTCTTAAATATATTTTCCTCATTTTTTTTCCTTGTATTGTATAGATATATAAGAAATTCAATTACATTATTCTGATATACAGCATTAATATTCGTGAAATATATTTCAATTTTAGAAATCATACAAAATTATATCATATATCTTTAGAGAAAATAAATATTAAAAATTATGAAATCTCAAAAACTTAAAAGAAGTTTATTAGAAAAATGTTTGTCTTAATATATCTCAAAAAAAAACTGATGAATTTGATTTTATTAAGACCAACTACTCTGAAATATAACAATATATTGCATAGACAGAGAGAGGGCGCTAATAAACATTCTATTATTTTTCATTTTCTTTTCTTTGGTAATTCTCATTGACGAACGGGACATTTATTTATTTTTTTCTTCAAACAACTCAAAACTATCAATTGTGACTATATGAATATATATATATATATATATGTACTTGACTCATTATTAACCAAACTAAACCGATATACCTTTTCAAAAATAAACATATCTTTTCTATTGATCACATAAAATAAAATATACTTTTTTTGTCATAGATACAATATATTGAATTATCTAGAGAATGGATTCTTCAAGGTCTACATCAATTCCTCAATCTACTAATTTTCCTTCAACATATGATCCAACAAATATCGATAGTCCAGGCTTTGATCCTGAAACCTATGTTACAAAATTATTACGTGAATCACGTCTAGCAAATCTACTTGATAAAGAACAATTATTAACAAAACAAATAAAAACATTAGATAATGAAATGCAAACACTTGTTTATGAAAATTATAATAAATTTATATCCGCAACTGAAACAATACGTCAAATGAAAAAAGATTTTAAAACAATGGAAGATGAAATGACACATCTTATATCAACAATGACTACGATTAATTCAAATAATCATCAAATACATTCAACACTTGATAATCGTCGAGGTGAAATACGTAAATTAACAAATATACATTTATTATTACAAAAATTACAATATTTATTTCAATTACCAACGAAATTAAAAGAATATGCCGAAGATAATCAATATAATTTAGCTGTAAATACATATACAAAAGCATTAAAAGCATTAAAAAAATATGAACATATACCATCATTTAATAATATTCAACAAACATGTACAGAAATAATGAATACAATACGTGATGAACTTAAATCAAGATTTGATCAACAACAAACAGCATCAAATGATGTCGTTAAATTATTACTTCAATTAGGTGAATCATCTGATTATCTTGCAAAACAATATCTTCTACAAAATAAACATAGACTTGAACAACCATTAGAATTAATGAAAAAACAACTCAGTATTGCTGAAAGTCAAGTAGGAACTACATCTTCAACAACTTCGAATATCGTTACACAACGTAAGAAATTTTAATAATTCTATTATTAATATTATTTTTTTCCTAAATAGAAATGTATCCAATGGATATTCTTGAATTTATTGATACAAGTTATAATTCTTATATAAAAAATCTTCATGAATTTGTTGAATCATATGAATTAATATTTATACGAAATTCTTCGAATATATCAACATCACCTAGTATTGAAGATGAACAAAAAGAACGTTGTAAATATTATTTAGAAGAATATTTACTTGAACTTTATTCATCCTATATAAAATTTATTCATGAATTATTTCAATCGAAATATTATGGACAAGAAGATGATACAGAATTATATGTACGTGCAATAGATAGATTTTTACGTCGTTCATCAAATGATATCTATAAATATTTATTTACACAAAATGCATTAGAAAAAATACGTTTAATGCTTGATACATTTTTAACATTTGCTATTGAATGTCGATTAAAATTTTATCATTCAAATATTGATCGACATTTTCATGATCAAATTATTGAATTAAGAAAATCGTTAACATTTATACAATCAACAACAAATGAACAATCGCAAACATCATCTGAACAACAACAACAACAACAAGCTCAACTTAATCTTGCACAATGTGTAGATAAAATGCTTAAACAATTAACAAATGATATTAAATATACATTTCAAAATCTATCAACATTTCTCAATGGAACTGAAATGATTGGTAATACTGGGAAAAAAAATTTATTTAGTAAACAATTTGCTACAAATCATGTATGGAATGGATTCTTTTTAACATTACTTAATCGTTTAATAACTTATTTTGAACATGAATATACAACAGCAAGTAGTAATTCAATAATAGTTAAACATGAACAATCGTCACCACCAATTCTTTTATTAATGTTAAGTAAATTAATACTTAATTTCGATTCAAGTTCAATACCTTATTTATGTACTGTATTTGAAGAAAAATTTAATTTAATTCTAGAAAATAATCCACGAAGTATAAATTTAGATTTTATTAAATTAATTTTTTTTTCTATTTTGAATTTTATTCTTCAGATGATAATCAAAAAGGTGGAGCATCATCATCATCACTTGATCGTTCAAAATTAACGGCAATTCAAAAACAATTTAGTGTTATTGCTAAACAATTACTTAAACAATATATTTGTTCTCAAGGTTATACACTTTCTCAAATGCTTCGAAAATCAATTGAAACTCGTGATTGGCTTAATACAGTTGAACCACGGCATGTTCGATCAGTTATGAAACGTATTATTGAAGATTTAACACAAATAGATAAACAAGTTATGATGCTTTATAATGATCAACAACCATCAACACCATTAACATCTTTATCATCATCTTATGGTCGTTATCATCATCGTTCAAATTTAAATAGTGGTGGTGGTCGAAGTTCTGATGGTGGTCGACGTACAATAATAATGCCACGTAGTTCAGCACTTGATCGAGCAACTGGTGGTGGACCAGGTAGTTCAGCTGGTTCAACTGGTAATCTTCAACTTAATTTTCATAAAGTATTTAATGAAAAATTAGATATATTTATTGATTTACAATTTCAAAAAACTTCGATTTTATCAAGTATAATTAAATTACTTTTAAAAACATATTTAGAATGTATACGTTTAAAAACATTTTCACGTTATGGTTTACAACAAGTACAAGTTGATATTAATTATTTATATAATTATCTTTGGTCATTTGTTAATAATGATGATAGATTTATAACGAATTTACTTGAAGAAATTGTTAGTAGTACAGCTATGAGATGTTTAGATCCTGTTCTTATGGAAGCTAGTGTTATTACAGTTATTTGTGAAGGAAATTGAATTTTATTTATTTATTTATTTGTTTTTTCTTGTTCTTTTTCGAAAAAATATATTCATATACATATTTATTTTTTGTTGTCTTAATATTGTTGTTTTGTTTTATTTGGAGATTAATCCTTTGGTACTGGGGTTAGCATATGTACGGAATGAACTTTTGTTCCTATAACCCTCGTAATAATCTCATTCAAATCCGATCTAGACGATGTCTCGCTTCTTCTCTTATCTCCTTATCATTAGTGCGGCATCGCCGTATAGCGCTAAATATATATTCATGTTTTCTAATTCTTATTTGGGTACTGTTGATGGGTGACTAAACTGAAATATATATTTGTTAGTCTGACTATCGGAGATAATCTTATTTGCCTTTCTGTATGTCATTTTCCATTTTTAGTTCCAGTAATAGCGAGAAAAACAACTACACGGAGATGTCATATTATTTTTAATCTTATAAGCTGACAAAGAAAAAGCGTATAGATACGTGCGGTTGTTTTAAAGATTATCATACTTTAAAAACATTCCTAAAATCCTCTATATAATAATAAAGTTCATTCTAAACTTTTTTGAAAGAAAAGAAAAAAGCCCCCGATGCCAAAGGATTAAATAAAAATAAAAGATCGATTTTTATTTCAAACTAATGATTTATATTGGTGATGCATGTAGAGAAAATTTTCTTTTAAATTAAAATCATTTGATAGGAAAAGTTATTTTATGATTGATTTTTTGTTTATTTCAGAATAAAAACCTAATTCTATGATGTTAATAATTACTTAAAAACAAATTGTTTGAAGAAATTATTAATTTGATAAATAATTAACTAAACATCATACGAAACTTCATGGATATATACGTCATTGACAGTTTCAATTGTTCTGATTCTACCTTTTCTTCAGTTCTCCTCACAATAAATGAAACAATTGAATAATAGCTTATAAAAAAATATAAATTTTGCTTGACTCTTTGATATTTGTTAAAAAACATAGATTAGGACTCATATATCGATTTAATTTTTTTGTTTGCAGATGACATCTAACAATGATTCTTGTCCTTATTGTGAAAAATCATCATATTTACCTGTTCGATCACATTGGGCACGAGCTGTTTTATCAAAAGTTGAAAATGATCAACATTTAGAAAATATTGATCGACGTGTATGGTATCGTTTAACACATAGTGATCGATTACGTGAAGAATATCGACAACTATTTCATGAACTTCATGAAGATGAAGAAACAACTGCATTTCTTGAAGAAAGTCAAGCAAAATCTGATAATATTCCTGTACAAATTCTTCACAGTCTAGCTAGTACTGTATTGACTGTATTTATTGCACGAACATCAGGTATATTGATTTCGAATCATTATGAAAATAATACTTATTCTGTTTCTTTAATATTTAACTATAGCTAATGGATTAATTGGTCGTGGTCGTATGTTCGTATATTCAACTGCTCAATTTAAAAAGTTACTCGATATAAATGATAATGAGCAATCTCAGATGTCATCTCTTCTTGATATTGGTGCTGGTGATGGTTCTGTAACACAACGAATGGCTGGTCTATTCGAAAAAGTATATACTACAGAAATGTCATCAATAATGCAATGGCGTCTTTCATATAATGGTTATACAGTACTTGATACAGATCAATGGGGAGATTTAAAATTTGATGTAATAACATGTTTAAATGTTCTTGATCGTTGTGAAAAACCTTTGACCTTATTAAAAAAAATTCGTGAACATTTAAATCCTGATAATGGTCGTGTTGTTATAACACTTGTTTTACCATTTAAACCATATACTGAATATAATGATGATCATCATCCAGATGAATCAATTCATATAAAAACTCGTTTACCGGAAGAACAAATAAATGAATTTATTTCCAATGTTTTTCAACCATTAGGTTTTCGTTTAAACAAATTAAGTCGTTTACCATATTTATGTGAAGGTGATATGGAACGAAGTTATTATTTTCTTTCAGATTATATATTTGTATTAGATATCTATTAAACATATACTTCTTTTTTGTTTTAACTTGTTTGTTTTTTGTTCCAAGTTTTTGTTTTATTTGTATTTTACAATACTATTATATTGAGTTTATGTAGAATAAATCTCGATTAACTTTAGAAAAGTTTATATTATCTAATGAGTATTGATATATACACACGTTCTTGAATGGAATAAAGACAGTACTATGATTATTTCATTATTGTTACCGAATTAAAAATGATATAATATTACTTCTAAAGTGTACATACTATTTTCAATCTAGGATATACAAAAACAAATAGTATACGCCTTAAAACACGGTTACTGGTATTCGACATTTTCACGGTAGGTACTATTATTTGTTCGGTCAACATGTATGTTGTTTCTTTTTTAATTTCAATGACATAATCAGATAAATGTCATTTGACTTAAAATATATTTTTCAAACAGAAAAAAACATGTTTTTTTATTATTTATATTTACAGTTAACTCAATAATCTCATATTTTGTCATTGTATGATAAAATCGATCAGGCATAGCTTTATCGATTTTATTATTAATCATGTATTTGTTTATTTGCAGTGACATATTATAGCTGTAACATCTTAATTACCTGGAGAAAATAAAAAAAAGGCAAGCTATTCATTTTTGTTATTTGCGCTCGAGAGTGATAAGATAGATACAAATTTTTTTGATGGGTAAAGCAAATCGGTAGATTTTATTGCGTTTTGATTCGTTATCTGATCGTCTATGTCATTTTAGTTACTACTATAAAAATGACTGACGAGGATAAGTATTCAGCAAAATCCAAATCATTAAATTGCGACGAACAACCAATGGGCTTAGAAAAAGCAACACCAATTACAAAAATGGAGAGAAAAGACTCAACAACATTGACATCAATTGATTCTCCTATCCGTCATCGTTCTCTAAACATTATTGACAAATTTCGTAAAATAAGACGTGATTCACTAAAATTAAATGATGGTCATAAAAAGACATTTGAAGAAAATGACCATAATGCATTGCATATGCCAAAATTATTTCCAACTCTATCGTTACTGGGTCGACCAACGTTAACAACATCGATGGATTTAAGTTCCATTTCACTTGAAGATAGAAGACTTAAAGTATGTTCAATAAAATTCGATTCTTTCTATTTTACTTTCGTTTTTTTCTTTGAAGGGAATATTAAAAAAATCAGTGCAAACGTCTTCGTGTTCAGATTTAACTAAAGAGTTATTGAAAAATCATAATTTCCTTCAACGTCATGATTCAGTCAATGAACACGATCGTATAAAAACTGATAGGGAAACTAGTGTTCAGTTTTTATCTGTCAATAGTGATAACGGTAATCAAGATTCACGACCAAGTTCTCCTAAAGGTTCGAAACATGTTACATTTGATGAGGAAGTATCCGAAGATAGATATCCACCAATGGAACTAAGTTTTAGTCCTACAGAACCGTTATCATTTTCTGAAATAGAAGATTCAAATGCAGTTCATCGAAAAGATTCATTACAGTTACGCTCAATGCCTTCAAGAAAAACCTAATTACTAATCAACATCGACATCAACTTGTTAAACATTTAACTCCCATAATTCAACTGAAAATGAATCAGGCAGAGATGATTAAACACAATTATCGATCTATATTATCTGTATATGTAATTAAAAGATCACATTCATATAATACAAAAGAAAAACTAATTATTCGTTTTATTGACTTTTATTTCTAATTGTATTTATATGTATAATTCTTATTTCATTTTGAATCTGAATATTTCTGTTTTTTATAAAAAATATATTTTGGTATATATAATTATTTATATTTGAAAGATAATACGTTGATATTTAATTGAGCAAATAATCAAGATGAAGAAGATTTTATCATCAATGAAAGTATATAGTTAATGATTATAGTATAAGGTGTTATTATCATTTGTATTCAATATAAGTGTTCTATTAAATCATTAAATATAAAAAATGATAATATATAATCCTTGAATGATCTATTTGTAGATGTGTAATTTATTTTTTTTAGTGACCTCTAATTTTAAATTTAGTTTTCAATGTTATCTAACTAGTAATTATAATAACTCTTTGTCATAAGAAAAAATAATGTTGTTCGAGTAATCAAAAATATAAGAATATCAAATCGAAATCAAGGCTAGAGATTTCTTTCATTTTTCTTTCTTTTTTATGACAAGTAAATTGTTTTTATTCTTTCTTTTTCATTTTTTTCATGCCTAAAAGCAATAATTTAGCAGAACATTCACTAGTAAAAAAAGGGCGTTAAATAAAAGAAAAAAGGGAATTTTAGTTCGAATATAAAACAAATACTAAAAGATTGTAAGGAAAATTAGCTGTTGAATCGATATAATATCAAAGAATAAATAAATATTAAAAATCTCATGATTTTCAATTATACAAGTAAGATTTTTTTCTTTTGATACTTCTATAGTTGTTATTATTTTTCGATTGCTTTATGTCTTTTTATTTACATGAAAACTCAATGTGAAAACAAACAAAACAGTAAACATGAATAGTTTTGTACATGAAAAGAGTATCCAAATCAGATGCTCGATAATTACTCGAATTTGAATCTGTTTCTCCCGCTGATTTGATAATAATGAATATTATATCATTGCTTAAGTATATCGCATAGGTAACAGGTGAATCTGACATTGATTTAGGAGTTAATTGGAATTCGAAATGAAACTACTTCCATGGTTCGACATTCATCTGAACCAAACTGAAATTACACGCAATCTCAATTTGAACGCTAGCATATGTGTATATATATATATATATTTATGAATGTGTGTCTGTCAACAATGTCAAAGGCTGATAACTGAGAATGAAAGTAAAAATGAGACAGATGAAAAAAAA